GTGTGTGTGTGTGTGTGTGTGTGTGTGTGTGTGTGTGTGTGTGTGTGAGTGTGTGAGTGTGTGTGCCATCAAGGTCCCCTCACTGGACCTAGTACTCACAGATTGGCTAGGATGTTGGGTAAATATGTCTGTGTCCCTTCCTCCCACACTCAGGTCATAAGCATGTACCATGTCTAGCCTTCTCTGGGAACTGAAGTTTCAATACTGGCCTGCATGTTTCTGTGGAAGTCACCCTACCCACTGAGCTATCTCTTCAGGCTCTTGAGGCACCCCTTCATTTTTAAATATAAGGTATATCTGGTCTTTTAAGTATTTCCCAAGAGCTGCTTGTACATTAATTAAATTACTTCTCACCATCCTAACTTCAAGGTTTGCACTCTCAGGTTTACCCATAGATTCATTTTCCTTTCATTTCTGTGTGTCCATTTCTGGGTCCATATTTGTCTATCCCAGTAGTGTGGTTAGAGCAAGGCAGCCCACCCCACTTTTCAAAGTTCATCCCAAGAGAAGAGTCGGAATTTGGAGGTTGCTGTTCAGTTTGACTCTTGAATGTGTTTCGGACCCCACACCTCTTATGCACTATTCAGCAGAAGCCTGTTTGTCCTCATTAAAATTAAATTGGCCACTATTTTCTCCATAGAAATTATGCCCCTATTTATTAAAGCTAATTATGCAGTGTGCCATTTTTCTTTTCTGTTTGTATTCATGAATGCCTGGTCTCAATGGGAACATCTAGGTGAAGATCAATAATTGGTCCCTTATTAGAGCACAGGGAAGCTTCCATTGGTACACTACATTCAGCTGGGTGTAAGAGGGCTTATTATAAAGCAGGGGCAGGCTTTCACAACCCACGCTCGCTGGCAGTGCTGGACACACAGGATTAAATAATCAGCCATCAGGCTCTGTCTCATAAATGTTTTTCTTTGACTTTTGGCAGGATCTCCAACCTGAGCAGATGCCAGTTGACATGGGAACTCTGAGGCCAGCAATTTAAGGATTTTCACATTTGCTTGCAGCGGTAAGATTTAAAGATATAACAACAAAAGACAGAAAATGTTACCAAATTCTGGCTTTTTGTACAAGATGTGAAATGAAATTATTTAGGGAAATACGTTTCAATACATTTTTTTTCCTGTTAATTACCTTAGGAAAACCAAAGAAAACATAAGAGAAATCCATAATTAGTCCTCAGACATTGAACAGAGTATTGTTAGGCTGAAGATAAATAGGGAAACTAAGTAATAGCTATAGTTCCTTATGCTATACAGTTGGACCAAGAAGAGCACATGGTTTTCACCTCTGACAGTGAGCTCTTTCAACTGAGCTGAGGTATGAGTGGTCAGAGCACAGAGTGTCACTGGAAGAAAGGGGGAAGTGGCTGTTTTAAGCTCTATAGGGGACAGTCGCATCCTTATCATGAGTCTTGAGGTTGGGTTGTGAGGGAATGAAATCTGTAGTTAATTAAGTGATTGCATAAGGCGTGGCCTACACACTGGACACTTGCTGCCAATAGAGGCACATCTGTGTGCCGCAACTTCAAAGCAAAGCTGTAATGTTGTAGATATCAGCAGATGAGCTCAAATCTTGTTATTGAAAGATGGCATTAAACATGTAAGTCTTTCACTCCTACGTGTGTTTGTTTACATGTACATGTACCCACATATACAGATACACTCTTAGATCTGATGCCAAGGAATAAATGCTGAAAACATCAGCAACTAAATATTTACAATGTTCATAGATGGAGTCACAGTAACTGTATACATTCTAACATGAAGTGGGCAAGTCATCATGCCACAAGCGAATGCTCAACCTATTTCAGTTGCCATCACATTTACTTATCCACTCCAAGTTGAGACTGATCTTCATAGTGTGAGGCTATCCTCAACACATCTGGTTCTCTGAAGAATACCGTTTAAAATGGCTTCTGTACTCTTCTGAGTCTGCACTTTCACGATGCCTAGCAGCATGTCTGTGGTACATGGGCCAGGCTGTGATTCTCGCCATCTCGTTGGGCATTCTTATACAACAGGCGTAGGTTTGTATCTTTGAACTTGGAAGCAATGGATTAGACATCGTTAGCTTTTAAGTATGCTCCTCTCCCATTGTCTGCTACTTGATTCACTTATGTTGTTACAATAACACACGCGTGCTTTAATGCTTGTGTCCTTAAAGACTGCCTGTGAACAGTAAGAAATCGATGAAAACACGGGAAGCTAGAAGAGGCATTATTTAAACTGATACTAGAACTGGCAATACAACTTTACAGAACATGTTTATTTTTTTAACATTTATATAGCTAGCTATCGTTTGTTTTTGTCGTGTGTGTGTGTGTGTGTGTGTGTGTGTGTGTGTGTGTGTGTGGTCCCTTATCAGAAGGGTTGTGAACAACTTATTGGAGTCACTGCTTTCCTTCCGTCATGTGGGCTCAAGTGGTAGAACTCAGGTTGCACCGGGTTTGAGGGCACATGCGTTTACCCCCTGAACTATCTTACTGACTTCCGTTATGAGGTCTTATATCCAAAAGTCATGGTCCTTTTGAAAAAGAAAAAAAGGAAAGGAAAAAGGAAAAGGCCTTTCATATTTTATTAAATGACTTAGCTCTGCTTCCTAGGAGGTACTACCAAACCCTTATTTTCTCCACACGTGAGTTATGGTTTCCTTATCTCAATGTAGTGTTTAAGTAAACATTTTAACCAGAGTGTCATTCAACTGTAGATACTATTTAATACATTCTTATACACCTATGTACCACCAAAAATACACCCATGATAAATGTAAAGTCTTAACTTGAAGCTCCAGACCTTCAGAATGGTTGTTCTAACTTGAGATAGACGGACTTTGGGTCTGGTTGATTTTAGCTCATGATGTTTTTTATTTGCAAGTTCCTTGTAATAACATTTTAATTAAACACACACATACACAAACACTATCTTAGATCCTAGAAGAGTCAGCAATTAAGCTGAACAGGCTTTCTAAAAATCTGAAAGAGCAAGAAAAGGCAATCATTAGAATGAGGCATGGAGGGTGAGAGAGGAGAGGGAAGGAAGGAGGGAGGGAAGAAGGGAAGAAGGGAGAGAAAGGATATATTATCTATTGGCCTTAATGAAACCATAAACCTCTATGAAAATGTTCCATAAATAACTTTAGAACCACACAGTCTTCTGAGCTCTGAGCTCTATTTTTTGTTGTTGTTGTTGTTGTTGTTGTTTCTGTTTCCTTTTTATGAAGAAAGAAGATTTAGAAGGACGTGGCGGCACACACCAGGAATCCCAGCAATCAGGGAGGCAGAGGCAAGCAGATCTCTGTGAGGTCAAGGCCAGCCTGGTCTACAAGTAGAGTCCAGGCTACACAGAGAAACCCTATCTCAAACCCCACCCCCCAAAAAAGAGGATCTACCAAAGATGTTTTAAATATTATGCTAAAGATTTGCATAAGGATATGGGGAGGGTACCATAAATGTAGCCTAGAGCTTCTATCTTTTCGGAGAGCCAAGAACAACATCTTCTGGTTCCACATCTGTGATGTAATGACACTGATGACAAGACAGGATTATTTGAGAAAGGCTGTCTAGATGCTGACGGCAGAGAGGAGGAACCTTACCATGGCCTTACCCAGGCCTCTACCCAAATCCTGAAACCTTGTCTGACTTAGCTGAAGAGATTTTTACTCCCTTGCTTCTGGATTTTAAATATTCCTTAAATGTTGAGATTTGTCTATAAAACTAGGCTTAATACTAATCTTACTCTTTTGAAGAATTACCTGGAGAAAAGTAAACAAGAAACACTTTGAGGAGATTAAAATCACCACACCCGGGATTTAGCCCTAGAACCTTTGATCATCACAGACTGAGCTATGGCAGAACTGAATTTTCTTCAGGCCGGGGTGTAGCTTTGCAGTTGCTCTGAGCGCAAATACTTTTGACTTTCTTCACTGAATTATGCTAACAACAAAAGCTAATCACTCTATCTCCCCCCACCCCCCAAATTATCTGTGAATTGTCCTTGGTGTTTACCAAAGTGATTCCAATTTCAGTATTCTAGAATCACAGCTAAGATGAGAACATGGGAGACTTCGAAGGAAATGTTTACTGTGTGATCCCTGTCAGGAAATGGGAAAAAGGAGGTCTCAGGGGTTGAAGTTTCAGGAGAATTGGACTTTCTCAGACCCACTACTCTCTTAATTCCTTTCAGATGTGGACCATTTTCCAAAGCCAGTCTTCAGTTGTCTTCCTGCTGGCCATCCTCCCCACCCCATCAGTCTCCTTCACAGCTCAAAAGTGCTCTGCCTGTTTACATTTCAGGGTATTTTTTTTAAGCTATTGACCCCCAGCCCTCTGATTCCATAAATCCTGCTTCAAGTGTTTGCTCCGCAAGACAAACAACACCCCCCCCAAGCCCTGAGTTTACTCTCAGACTCCATTTCATTACAGATGCTGAAGATAATCAATATAAATTGTGGGGGCTGGTGTCAGGTAAAAAAAAAAAAAAAAAAAAAAAATTGCCTGAGCACACTATACTGTTTGTCTCTACAAAGAACTGCTGATCATATATCCTTAAGCAATGAAGCTACAATTGTTAGAAAAATATACCTAAATGATAAGCAGGAAATTTCAATAACTACACAAAGCTTGGAATATCTTCTAGGCCTCCTCGTTCATATACTAATGTCAGAAGCAATCAAGGTCTATGAATAATGGATGAAGTTAAGCACAAGTGGTCCAGATTTTAATCCAGTGTTCTGGAAAAGAACGTTAACATAATGGCTGTGGGTCAGAGGAATTGGCTGACATAGGAAATACCAGCCAGTAATATCATCCATTCCCATTTGCAGGAATAAAACTTGTACATTTTCCCAGGGGTCTCCAGTTATAAATATGTTCACCTATATGTATTACCATCCTCCAGAATGGTTCCCTTATCTGTCTCCAACCCTTAAACAAATGAAAACCTCGGTTTTGCTTTCACATCTGTTCAATTCTACCTGCATCTGTAGGAATTTCTTCTCATAAAGATTTAGTCTTCTCTTAAATCCTGGCTATAGCCCATTCTGTGCCATAGCAACTTTGAGCCTACTTTGGCTAACACAACTCTGAAGCTAATCTACAGGAACAACCAGGGAAAGTTATGAGAATGAAGTGGGAGGAAATGTCCTGATGTACAGCACCTACGTTTCCATGTGACTGTAACTAACCCAATTAGCCAGAAAATTGATGTCATGATTATTATCATCGTGGTCAATCATACTACTAAGAATCAGTGAGTCAGTTTTCTTAGAATTTGGATGATTTGAAACTTTTTTATTTATAGCGTTTCCAACTCAATGAGCACTTTCCCCCCCAATAATTGGTTTTTCTTCTATACAAAGTCAGAGTGAAGGGGAGAGATAATCAGAGAAGGGAAAGGAAGCTGATACCTTCTAGGACCCTTCCCAAGAGCAGGATCATGAGTGAAAACATGCCAGTGGAAATCCAGTTGCTCTCTAAAGCCTCAGCTCTTTTCATTGACATTTCAAAGAAACTCCAGAAACAGCTTTTCTGTTCCAGTAACCCATAGCTATTTTGCAGCTGATCAGAATGGCTAAAGAAAGAATCAGGGAGCAACCATTTCTTCAAAGTCTTCAGCTATCACTTCGATTCTTTTCCTGGTATAATAAAGTCAAAAGTGAATTTTCTTTTTCTTTTTTTTTTTTCTCAAGTTTTGCAGCTGGTAAGATGGCATAAAAGCAGGTTGACTGAGGGAAATTCTTTAGATTGAGAGCCTCTGATAGAAAGCAATCTGTTTGAGTGAAGGATGCTACTGAACTAAGGGGGAATGGGAGGAACAGCTTTTTAATATTTGTTGTCTTATCAGCCACCAGAAAGATTTCTAATTAAATTTCTAAAGCTACTTTATAAAAATATGTTACTAGAAAACATTTTATATGAGCTCTATGGTATGTGTCGGAGTTTTTTGTTAGTTGTATTTTTTTATTTTTATTTTTATTGGAAATGCAATGGTCAAGACAAGCTGAGAAACA